GTTACAAGATATCCAAGAGAATCATAAACATCTCCCAAGGACTTTTCATCATTTTATGGAAATATTAGTGTTAGAATTTGAATCTGACATGTGAAGGTTTGGTCCCCAATGCAATAATGTTCAGAGATGGTGTTTTGGGAAAGCAACTTGATCATTAGGCCTTTAACTTCATCAATACATTAATCCATTGATAGGTTCATAGCATCATGGACTATTAGATGGTGATGGAAATTTAGGAGGTAGGACATACTTGAAGAAAGTGAGTCATTTGGGTTGTGACCTTAAGGATCATATTTGTCCCTGATGCACCCCTGCCTCCCTCTCCTGACTGCCATGTGATGGACACCTTTGCTCACTATTTCCTCTCCACCATGATGTTCTGCCTTATCACAGGCCAGGATACAACGGAGCCAAGTGACTTGGACTGAAATCTCAGAAATGTGAATCAAAATAAATCTTTTCTCCTTTTAAGTTGTTTCTCTCAGGTATTTTGTCAATGCAACAGTAACTAGCAGTTACTATGTAGTGTGTTTTTGGTTGTACTCAAGGGAGTTATGTCATGGTACGTTGGAGGTATGATTGTTATTTCTTTTATTTGGAAAATAAGTACAGTTTAAAGAGATTTGTATGGGTGCCAAGTTGGAACAGGTGAGCTGTGAGGATAAATTTTACTTGTCAACTTAGGTAGGTAAATGTTAATTAATGGCCCAGACCCTTTAGATGTTGATGTAAATAAAGGTCATTTTGGAAGAGTTTAACATTTAAATTAGTACACTTTGAGTAAAGTAGATTATTTTCTGTAAAATAGGTGGGCTATTATGTGACTGAAGTCCTGAAGAACAAAGAAAGATGTATTGAAGGAAAAATAATTCTTCATCCAGACCATAATATAGAAATTTGGCCTTGAAATTCAGCCTTTGGACACAAGACTGCAATATCAACTCTTAATGGAATTTCCAGCCTTCCACCTGCCTACAGACCTTAAACTATCTAGCTCCCATAATTACAAAAAAAAATTTTTTTAATCTCTCTCTCCCTCTTCCTCCCTTCTCTTTTTCTTTCTCTTTGTAGATAGAGAGATAAATAGATAGATAGACAGATGTAGATATAGGTATAATAGGTATATATAGAAAAATATCTCCTATTTCTCTGAAGAACCCTGACTAATACAACTAATTTGACAACCTGGTTGCCGGACACATTTAGCAGTGTCCAGCATGTGTAAGGAGGAATTGTGACCAGGTACTCTGACACCTCAGAAATGAAGATCTGGGCAATCCCATTGAGGATGCCTCCTCACCTAGACCAAATCATAAAAATCTAGTAGATGAAGTAGATGATGAGTATACATTGCAATGTGAAGACCAGCAGCAGATATCGATGCTGTAGTTAGTTCCACTAGCCTTGTTAAAGATTTTCTCAGGAAGCCACAAATAACTGCACTCACAGGGGCTACAGCTTATGATAGGAACCCAGTGAATCCAAGAAGCAAAAGGAGCAGACTGCAGTGGATGAAACCAGATCCACATGTTCAGCTTGATGAATTAATTCCCTTAGCTATCAGGAGTTTGGGCTATTGATGAGTCAACTACATCTCTTTCCAAGAAGTAAGTTCCATTGACTGAAGAAAGCTGCCTCATATAAGGTAACCTCTCTCTAGAAGCAACCTGTATAGAAAGAATAGTTGATCTGTAAAGAACAAATCCCCACTTCATGATTTAACTGGAACATAGTTCTCCTCTCTCTATCCCTCTCCTCTCCCCCATCATTCCCAACCTCCAGTAACTACTATCAGTTTGAATGTATTTACATGTGTGTAGGAGTACAAAGGAAGTATTTTCATCCAGCTTACAGCCTAATTATTTATTATTATAAAGAGTAAACTCTTACTGTGATCTGTGAATCTATGTTAGAGTAGGTCCTCTACAAAGAAGAGTCTGAGACAAGGATTAATGTGTTGAGTATGCTGTTACTCTCTTAAGTTTACTTTCACTACTCATATTGCTTAATTATGCTGACCCTGATAGTAAGAATGTTCCTATAGGGCATCTGATAATACTAGAGTAGTTATGAAGATTTGTCAATAGAATAACTAGTCTTATGTTTAATGTGTTAAATGAAGATAAACTCCCTTAGAAAGTCTCCTGCTAACTTACAGACTTTTAAAATAGATAAGACATAGAAAAGAATGTACCTGTGGTGAGTTTGACTAACTAGATGTACCCTCCTTCATATGTAAGTCAAATCAAGCTTATAGCTCATGCCTATAATCCTAGCTACTTGGGAGGCTAAGATCAGGAGCATAGAGATTCGAGGCCAGATGAGGCAAATAGTTTGTGAGACCCTGTCTCCAAAATAACCAGAGCAAAATGGACTGGAGGTATGACTCAAGTGGTAGATCATTTGCTTTGCAAGCATGAAGCCCTGAATTCAAACCACAGTCCTACCCAAAAAAGAAAAAAGAGAGAGAGAAAAGTCAAATCATAATTCTTCTAATGCTAGTTAAATATAAACTCACTAATCTCCAGTTGTTGAATTTTATATATAAAAGGATTTGGCCATAAAAATTCTTTAGAATCTTGTCAACAAAGAAGTGTGTTACCCAGCTGTGCTAGGAAATCTGAAATCTTGGCAAAGTCCCATGTGCACTCAAAAAGAAAGCATATTCTTCACTTATATGTAATGTTCTGTAATGCCATTTAGATCAATGTGTTTGAAAGTGTTGTCTAAGTCTTCTATACCCCTATTGATGTTTTAATCTACATGTTTAATTAATTCTTTGTGAGAGAGTATTTTAGTCTATTTGCACTGTTATAACAAGCTACCTTAAACTGAGTAATTTGTAAACAATAGATACTTATTTCCTCATAGTTCTAAAGGCTGGAAAATCTAGCATCCAGGCATTGACAATTAATGGTTTTTCGTGATGGCTGCTCTCTGCTTCCAAGTTGGGATGTTTTGCTCTATCTCTTGTGTCTCTTTTCTGAAATTGCATCCTTTATTTTTTAAAAGAGTTCATGTATAGATGGAACATCACAACATAATTTCTTACCTGTCAGTTCCAACATATGCAGTTCATGTGAAGTCTATGCTTGTGTGTTGCATTTTGCTGAGTATCATTCATGGTCCATTCCTATGCCTGATAGTTTTTCATTGTGAGCTGAGTAAGTGATTGTAATCCACTGGAGTCCCGATAACATAAATATGGATGAAACCTTTCTCTTTTCTAATGAAGTTAAGTACTCCTGTATGAAAATGAAAAAATGAGACCTGTTGAAAGTATTCTAAGGAGGGAGGAGGAATAAAGTAGAACAATGGAGAAGGTAAATCTGACTAAGATATATTGTAAGCACTTTTGTAAATGTCACAAGGTATCCCCAGTACAACATAATATGATAATAAAAATTTAAAAATAAAAATGAAGATAAAATAATACCTATCTTAAAGGTTTATTGTGAAATTGAAATGAGAAAATTCCCATAACAGTGTTTAACATAGAGCTGGGACTGTCATAAAGGCTCATAAAGGCTCAATAAATGTTGGATTTGAATTTTTAACTTTTACATCATTTTATTGATTTACTTGAGTGTTTCCTGCCTCCTGCATTAGAATGTAAACTCTTTAAAAAACTTTAAATAAGTCTACATACCTCTATTCTTTCAGTGACCTGAAGAGAGCTTGTGATCATTCTCATTTTTTCTCTAGAGACTATCCACTTTTAGTCTATTGAAAGCATATTCCTTTCCTAATAAACTTTACTGTCACTTTCACTAGACAGAGAGAGAGAGAGAGAGAGCTACATATGTTTAAACACTTGAAAAATACTGAATAAACGAGTTCCCCACAGACTCATATGTTTAATGCTTGGGACATTTGCAAACTTCAGGAGATGGGGCATAGCTGGAGGAAGTAGGCCACTGTGGGTATACCTTTGAAGTTTTTGTCTGGTCCCCCAGCTTTTTCCTGGTTTCTGCTTCCTGTTCACTAAGAGGTTAAAAAAAAACTTTCTTGCCCACATGCTCCCATAGCCACAATGTTCTGCCCAAATGCATGAGGCTAAGCGACCATGCACTGAGCCTTTCAAAATCATAAGCTAAGTAAGTTTTCCTCTCTTAAATTGCTGCGTTGAGTATTTTGTCACAGCAATAAGAAAAGTAACTAATACATATTCCTAAGAGATTTTCATTTGAAAAATGATCAACATGATCTTCTGCATTCATGAATGCAATAACTATGAGTATACAAAACACAGAAAAGACTTTGTGAGAGAATAGAGAAATTTACCGTATTCACAGTTGAGCTTACATTTTAACTAAAAATTAACTTTTCCATGGTTACAGTGGCTACACTCATTACTGCTATATACTCTTTTTCTTTATATATTTAAACTATGATTATAAATAATGTAAATGATTGTTATTTTTCTTTTGTTGATTTTTTTTTGGGTTTTTTTATAGGAAGGGAGTAGGCAGAGGTTGAGGTGGCACCTCCCTATGTTGCAAAGGCTGGAATCAAGTGATCCTCCTGTCTCAGCCTTCCAAGTAGCTGGGACTAAGTGTCTGGTCCACCTCGTCAAGCTAGTGATGATGATTTGATATTGGAAAGATGAAGTCTAATGTCAGTCTTCTGCTGTGTTTTATATACTGCAAGTATATGTCTGGCACTCCTATCCCACAGTTCTACTTATTAAATGCAAAATAATCTCAGAAGGACCAGTAAAATTCATGAAACAAAGCTTTCATTTACATATTAACAAAGTGCAAAGAGGCACTCAAGCTAAATACATTGTCTATACTAGCTAAGTCTTATAGAAGTAACTAGAGAATCTCTATGAAGATATTCCTGATTCTAGCACAAAAGTTCCCTGGGACATTTTTAAGTAATTACTTAAAGAAGGAAGAGGAGAAATCATTCTTCCATCAAGCAGCCAATGCAGCCCCCATTCTTCAGCAGGTAACCTAATATAGATGCAACAGAAGCAATATTAAGGACTGGCAGATATGTTGAGTGTAGTGGAAAGCCTCCTCCTTCTTGTTGTAGCTAGTGAGATAGTACTGGGGATTTTAGGGAATGGATTTATTGGACTTGTAAACTGCATTGACTATCTCAATAATAAGAAGCTCTCCAAGATTGACTTCATTCTCACTGGCTTGGCTATTGCCAGAATTTGTATGATATGGTTAATAACAGTAGATGGATATATAGTGATATTCTCTCCACATATGTATACCTCTGGTAATGTAATTGAATATATTGGTTACTTATGGTTAATTCTCAATCTCTCCAATATATGGTTTGCTAGCATTCTCGGCGTCGTTTATTTCCTGAAAATAGCAAATTTTTCCCACTCAATTTTTCTCTGGCTTAAGAGAAGAGTCAATATGGTTTTGATCTTTTTGCTAGGGTGCTTATTCATGTCATGGTTATTTGCTTTTCCACAAATTATGAAGATGATGAATGCTAATGAAGTGCAGCATAAAAACAATTCCTGGAGACTCCACCTAAGTAAAGCTGAGTTCTTTATTAACCACATTTTTCTCCAACTGGGAGCTGTTTTCTTCTTTGTAATAGCCCTGATTCCATGTTTCCTGTTAATCCTTTCCCTTTGGAGACACAAAAGACGGATGCAGTTGAATGCCACAGGATCCAGAGACCTCAGCACAGAAGCTCATGTGAAAGCAATGAAAGTTTTAATACCTTTTATCATCCTCTTTATCTTGTATTTTATAGGCATTGCAGTAGAAATATCATGTTTTTTTATGGACTAAAACAAGCTTCTATTTATTTTTGGTTTGACACTCACATCCATCTTTCCCTCTGGTCACTCATTTCTCCTAATTCTAGGAAACAGCAAACTAAAGCAAGCCTCGTTGAGGGTACTGCAGCAATTACCATGCCATGAGAAAGGAAAACATCTCAGAGCAACATAGACAGACTTGCAGAGAAATGGATGTCCTAGGAGAATAATCTAGTGAGGAAATCCTTGAAGACATTTTTCACTTGCATTGGTTTTTAACTGTGTTACTGAACATCCTTGAAATTTTCCATAATTGTTTGAACTACATCTCAGAGAAAAAAAACTTTTCGTTGTGCTTCATCTAACTTTCCTGAAGAATTGACACCCATTTTCCAAGAAGACCCAAATTAAAAAACCAAGGCAGAAAGTTAGGGTCTTGGCATTTATAACATGGAATTGAGGAACAGAAAGGATGCTTCTTCTATGGATGATTTTAATTATTCAGAAAATCGCTTTTATTCTCAGTGTTTAAATGCTAATGTTCTTTTTTATGAATGGATGTATGATGTAATAACAATAGTCATAATAGTAGATGTGCTTCTGTGAAAAGTAGCCAGGAAATGGGTCTATCTGGGGGGACAGGGGATCTGAGCCATGATTAAATGAGTCAATACACTCTTCAAATCCAGTGATTTGAGATTAGAACCAATTAGAGTTGAGTCAAGATTCTGCTAGAAGAGCAAATCCAAAGGACTCAACATAGCCTCTGACCAAGGGAAAAGAGTGAACCCCAGGTGGAATCTGTATAAACACACACACACACACACACACACACACACACACATACACACACTCATATACACAAACTTACACTCACAGACATATATTTGAAATATTGATATTTGAAATCAACTTTTAAAGTTAATTTTTAGGTCTAGCCATGTATGTGAAATGAGTGACTTATTTTGACAAATTACAATAATACACTTATCTTATGCTTACTGCCTGATGTCTAGATATTGCTAAATATAAAGGCTTAATTCATTTTCTGTTTGTTTATTATTTGCTTAGTTAGTTAGCAGGACAGAGGATTGAATCCAGGGCCTCCTGCTTGTCAGGCAAATGCTGTGCCACTTGAGCTGTGTAGCCCTTTTCCTTTTTCATTTTGTTATTGAGTACATTTTCTTTGTTGGTGGTACTGGGATTTGAAATCATGGCCCTACACTTGCTAGTGGCTCCACCACTTGAACCACACCTCCAGCCCTTTATTTTGTTTTTGAGGTAAGTTCTCATGAATTTGCTCAGGCTTGCCTCAAGCTCACGATCCTCTTGCCTGTGTATTAACTATGTTTGTAGGTGTACACCACTACTTCCACCTACTAAGGCTTAACTCATTTTCTATGTGAGGTTTCCAAATCTGCATTTTTATATATTTAAAGTAATATCTTTGTAATGTACAGAAAATTAAAAGGTAATAGGAAAAAAAGCTAAACAAAAATAAACACAAAAAGCTAATACCACTACCCAATTTCAACCAAATTTCCCAGGCTGCTTTATTTGAAATTATACTGTATAAGCAACTATTGTATGCTCTTTTTATCATTTGCGTTCAAATTTATTTACTTTCCCATGTTTTAAAAAAAGCATTTGTAATCATCATTTTTGAAGGATGCATGATAGCTCTTCTTACAGATATGCAATATGTATTTGCCTTTCTCCTATTGTTTATATTTAGGTTGGCTTCAGTTTTCCACAATTGAAAATCATTATGAGTATTGTGAAACATGAATACTATACATTCACTCAAGAAATACATTTTCTAATACTAACTGTTATAGGAAAATATAGTACTGAACAAGACATCATTATAATGAGGATACATTCTAGAATAAAAACGAATAACAAGCAATAACTTGATCAATTGATAGATAGAAGGATATCGTATTGGGAGAAAAAAGAAAACCTAAAATGTGCTGAGCAAGTGACTTTATTTGGTCCTGGGAACAAAGCAGGTATCCTTGAGCTTGACATGGTTTAGTTTGAAACCGGAATGATTCATGGGAGGAGGTAGAAAGAGCAGGAGGGATTTGGGTGGGACAGCATGGAAGATGTAGAGGGAATTTCAGGAATTGAAAATCCAGTGTAACTAGAGACAGAGAATAGTATTCAAATGATTTAAAGGGAAATTCTAATGGTGAAACTCTGATAAATTCCTCACAGAATTGATTAATTTTCCCACAGACATAGTGAAACAGTACTTTAATCTTCATTAAATATTCATCCTATTTCAATGTCAAAGTCACTCAAGGTTATTATTTTTAATGTGATTGCTTTTATTACAAAAACACCTTTTTAGAATGTGTATATATTCACTAGTGAGTTTGAAATTTTTTACAGGATTATTAGACAATAATAAACTCCTTTTTAGGAATTGTTCATTGGTTTTCTTCTTAGTTTTTCAAGTCTTGTGGTTTTTCTTGGCAATTTATGATCACTTTATACATTATTCTGTATACATTACAATTTTTTTCTTAATTTACTGATTAATAAATAATTTGTGTTGTTTGGAGAAATGTTTGCAATTTATATAAACACAAATCTATGTTTTCCTTTATGATTTCTTCTATTTTGTCAAAATTAATTTAGTTTAATTCATGTCTGTTCTTTATATCAATAGCTCCATTTTATACTACAAATAAAATATTTTCGTTACACCCAAAATTAGAAAAGAGGAATGCCTGGCAATATTCAACTAATCATGGTTAACATGCTCCTACATAACTTTTTAGATTGATAGATAGACAGACAGACAGAGACAGATAAAGGATACATTGCTTAGAAATCTATTTTGATTACATTTGTGTATTTACTGGATTGCTAGGTCTCTTGTTTGTAGATAATGGGAGTATAGAAGATTTTTATGTTCTTTATTGTGCTCTGTAAATTTTAAGGTACGGTTATGTTGCACTATATTCAGAATATTATAAATCACCACTATTTCCAAAGAAATTTTTGTTACCACAAATAAACTCTGTACCCATCAAGCAATAACTGCCTATTGTCCCTTTCCCCAGCTCTTAGTAAGCTCAAATTTAATGAATTGGCCTATTCTAAATCTGTCATGCATGTGGAATTATACAAAATATGTCATCTTGTATCTGGATTATTTTGCTTGCCATAGTGTTCAAGTTCATCCACATATCAGACTTCCATTCTATTGTATGGCTGAACAATATTCCATTATATGTTTATATTACTTTTTGTTTTTTTTCTTTTTTTGCTGTACTGGAGATTGAACCCATGGCCTTGCTCATGTTAGGCAAGTACTCTAGCTCTGAGCTGCATCCTCAACTCAGCATTTGTGCAAACATTAAGAATCAGGAATTCTGATTAATACATATGAAGAAAGACTCTATGCAAAATAATTTGCTAAGTCACGATTTCTTAAATCGAATGCCAGGAAATTTAATAAATGATAGTGCATAACATTTATTGAGTATATGTGATCATCTCCATTCTAAGTGCTTTAAATGTTAAACTTCATTTAATCATTTGTCTGCGAGGTAGATTATTATTATAAGTGTTTTACACATGACAATAGTGAAATACAACCCAATACAGAAAAACAATGAAGAACAGAAACAAGATTCAACCCCAGTTGCTTGGCATCAGAATGGGAGTTCTTTTTGCTTGTTTCTTTATATGTGGGAGAGGGGATTGTTTGCTTTGTGACAGAGTCTTGCTACACAGACCAAGTTAACCTCAAACTTGCAATCCTCCTGCCTCAGCCTCCAGAAAGACAGGTTTATAGATGTTTGTCACCATACCTGCAAAATCAGGATCTCTTAATTGTTGTAGAGCCACAGTAGATCGAACAAAATAGATTGGAGCTCTCACCTGAAATAAATGAAGAGCAAAGTCAGCTTAAATATATTTCAAAGCTAACTTCAACGTTGCTATTTATCTAGTAGATTCTATATATGTTTTGGAGTCCAAGTAATGTCACCTTCACTATTTTCATTCATACAAATGAGCACATTTATAATATGCTACCATTATTAGCAAAGTATTCTATGTTCAAATGATCACTTACATAGTTCTTTATTAATTAAATATGTTTCTTTCTTTAAAGAAACAATTGCATTTCTGAGTATATGGCATCTCTTCTCAACAAGTGCTTTTATATTTTTTGATCTTTGTGATAGTTAAATTACATTTCTTCAGCATGTGAATGCCTTTATTGTCTTCTCCATACATAGCTAAGTTTGATAGCATAAATAGAAAAATCTGAGTTGTTGAAACTATTCCAGGAATGGGAAGGAGGAGAAATAAAGGAGAATGATGGAGGGGATGAATTCAACTATGATGTATTGTAAAAACTTTGGTAAATGTCACAGTGTACCCCCAGTACAACAATAATTAAAAAATATATTTTTCCTCTTCATTGAAAATAGCATGTGAAATTTTTCATGGCAATGTAAATGAATTCCCAAATAAACAAAGTATTTTAACATTAAGTAACTTCATCTAATTATGTAGTATTTTTCTCAAGTGTATGCATTTTGCATTATTAGAATAAATAAGTCTTCATAAATGAAATTTTTATATCATAAAAAAGCACTAAACAGGGCTATGGTCTCTTACTCCTATAATCTTAGCTACTCAGAAGGCAGAGATCAGGAGGATCGTGGTTCAAAGCCAGCCCAGGCAAATAGTTCATGAGCCCCTATCTCGAAAAAAAACCATCACAAAAAAGGACTGGTGGAGTGGCTCAAAGTGTAAACCCTGAGTTCAAACCCCAGTACCACAAAAAAAGAAAGAAAGAAAATAGCACTAGTAAACCATTTTAGGTGCTCAGAAATATCAGTTACAAAAATCATCTTGACACTAATAATTATTCACAACAAGTACACAAAGAATAACAATTTAAGAAAAATTTCAAATACTCTTTAAATTCATGAGCTATAGAAAAATTTATGCTAGTCAGTACCTTTCAATACAAAAAATAGAAACAGCTGATATTCTGATCCAATTATCTCAAATAAAGTTGAAAATAAATGAGGCCCTTTTGATTTTTCTATCTTATCCTGTTTTTAGAGCACTCATTCAATTTTTTATATATGAGTTTCTCAATAAATACTGGGTCATGCCTCTAATCCCAGCTACTCTGAAGGTGGGGATTGGGAAGATAGC